CCGGTGGTACTAAAGTGCAGAAGAGTTGGCAACTAGAGTTAAGCGCTGGGTAAAAGTGCAATGAGACAGCGATCAGAAAAGTCTGATTTACAGAGTAAGAGACTAAGGCCAGGCCTGGAGGGCGCCAAAGCCCCTTCCGCTGCTGAGCTGTGGTCTCCCACTCTGATCGCCTCCCTTGGGCCGTCCCGCACGTGCCGGGCAGGGGCGCCCCATCGATGCGCTCCGCCGCTCGGCTCCCAACGCCTGGTGCCTGCCCGTTCGTGCCCCTTCCCCCGCCCGGGCGCTTCCCACTTCCAAGATGGCCGCGGGTGGAGCGGAACAGGTAAGGGGCCCTGTCAGGCGTCGGCGGCGGCTCCCGGGCAACAAAGACTCCCTCAGGGCTTCTCCTCGAAACTCTGCTTGGCCTTTGAGACAGCAGAGGGTCAGGGGCGCCGCTCCGGAGGCCCGAGCAGACGGGCGGGCGGGTGAGAAGAGGGGCAGCCAGGCGAGCGTCGGGCTCCGAGTCCCGGGGAATTGCGCGGGGGCGATGGCCCAGGCGGAAGAGCAGGCGCTGGCGGGGGCGTGGCCAGGACGGGGCGGGGGAAGGAGGCGGGGCCTGGCGCACGGGGCGGGGCTTGGCGCGCGCGGCTCGCGCGCACCTGTCGCCGACTCGCTGCCTGTGGCGCGCCGACGTCTCCAGCCCGGCAAATTGCGGGTCGGCGCGGCCGGGCTGCAGGCCGGGGGCCAGGGGATGGCATCGGAGCCGTGCTGACTCTGGTACTGGGCCCCGGTCGGGGGCCAGGCCGAGGGGGAGGGCGCGAGCGCTGCCACCTGCTGCCGCGCCAGCGGGCGGAGGCCTGGGGCGCGCGGCCGCGGTTGTCCTGGTCCCGCGGGGCGCCGGGCTGGGGGAGCTGGGCGTCCTGGGCGGGCGGGCACCGGTGGGGTGGCGCCCCAAGCCCGTGGTGGGGTTGGGTGGCGACGCGCTCCTCTTCCGGAACTTGGGGAAAAGTTTTCCCCTCCGAGGGGACTCTGGCCCGACAGGAGTTGGTGGGTGCGCGGGAGCCCTGTTCTCCGAGCCTCTGCTACTCGGATGTCTGCATGGCCCCGGGGCGCCCTCAGATCCTCGCACCCCCGCCCAGCACCCTGTTCCTTGAATCACGTCTCCTCCCCTAATAGACTCCCTGAGTTCTCAGCCCCTAGCATCTCGGAGCCCTTGTTCCGCAGCACCCCATTTCCCATCTCCCCTCTGCCCAGGGCGGGCCTGAGTCTGGAGAGCCACGCTGGGCGCCTGCCACCGCCCTGAGACTCTGGGCCGGGTCTGGAGGGTCCGCGGCTCGGAAGGGACTCAGACCTTCGCCTGCCCTCCCCGCGGGAGTGTCAGGCCTGCGGGTGGAGCCCACCGAGAGGGGGCTGGCTGGGGGCTGGAGGAGTGGCCTGTAGACTCCAGAGCAGCCCCGGTGAGCCAGCAGTGGGCCACAAGTGTGAAACTGTTAAAGTGGCACAGGGTACTTCCTCCCCACTGGCTGCTGAGGTTGGAACCTGGGTCCCAAGCCGGTGCTCAGCCCTGCTTTTGAAGGAAGTACGCTTTGCCACTGCAGGAAGCGCCTGGGCACCCCTTGATTATTTCATGCCCTGAGGCCAGTTGAGGAAGAGGTCCCCTGCTTGCCCCCATCCCCGTCTGCAGGATGTTAGCACCTGGTTTCCATCAGGATGTTAGCACCTGGTTTCCATCTTGGTGGGTTTTATGGAGAATGGGTTGCCTGCTGGGCACTGGCAGGTGATTTCCACTGAGCTGGCTAGTCTTCAACAGCAGTCTTGGAACACTTCCTGTCACCCAGTTTATCAGGCCAGTAACAGCCCAAGTCCCAGACTGGGTATGGCCTCCCCTTCCCCTAGTTCTTGCCTGCCTGCCTGGCTCCCTCCCTCCCTCCCTCTTTCCCCCTCCCTCTTCCTCTCCCCTCCCTTTCCCTCTCTCCCTCTTTCTTTCTTTTTTGGAGCAGGGCCTCACTATGTAGCCCAGGCTGGCCTCAAACTCACAGTGATCCTCCTGCCTCAGCCTCTCAAGTGCAGGGATCACAGGCGTGTGCCACCACCCCTGCTCTCTTACTGATTTCTTCATTGTTCTGCATGCTTTCACCAAGCTGGGCTTGATTCCTGTTTGGGTGGTTGGGTTTTATTTTTGAGGTCGGGTCTCACTATATAGTCCATGCTGGCCTCAGACTTGCTGTGGAGGCCAGGATGGCCTCGAACTTGAGATCTTCCTGTCTGCCCTGTCTGCCTCCTCCCATCGTCACTCCCCGTTGTCCTCTTAGCCCCTGCGTTTTCTCATTGGTAGGCCCCACCCTTGCTGCCCAGGGCATGAATTCCGGGCCCTCCTCCCTGTCCTCTATGGAAGTCTACTCTGAGGGTGAGGACTCACTCCACTTGCCAGGTGACATGTCTTGGAGCTTCTGAGCACACTCACGTGGCCGGCCTGCTTGCCTAGCGTGCTGTGGATGCCTCCATGAGACTTGGAGAGAATGTGTCGATACCGAGGAACACACCGTGTGTGAGAGGATTTGGGAAAATGCCTAGTGTGTTCTGTCCGAATTTGTTTTAGGATTCATTATCAGTACAATTCTCTGGCCTAAGTTGTTCAGAATTGGAGATTGTGGTGCTGGAAGGCCCCCAGGGGTCTGTGCCATGGAGCAGGTGTGAGGAGAGATGTCTGTGACAGGAGGAAGCTGTCCTGTGAGGCCTCGTGTGCGGGTGGCTGTTTTCTGGGCCTGCTTATGCAAATGCATTGGTAAAATAGCGGGGCTGGGTTTGCTGGCCTGGTGGTGCCTGGTGGAGAACAACGCCAGCTGTGTGTAAGTCTTAGCTCGAGCTCAGCGTGATCCTGGGGGCTCTCTGGATTTCTGCCCCTCATCTCATCACCTGCCAAATAAGGCTGGGCCTAGTGTTGTCCCCATTTTCCTACAAGGAAACTGAGCCACAGGAAAGCCAAGAAACAAATCCAAGGTCGCACGACTGGTGAAAGGAGGAGCTGGCATTTGAACCCAGGCTATCTGCTGTGGAACCTGCATTATTTTTCCTGTTTATTTCATTTTAAAAGCAATTGAAGTCTATAAGAAAAGCATAAAAAGTTGTTCAGTGTTCAGCATACCGATGATCACAAAGTTTAGGGTCTTTATTCTTAATTACTTCCAGCGAGCCATGCATGGCTTTGATGTCAGATCTGGTCTGTTCCAGTTGCCCTCGCTGTGTGGCGTGGGGCGAGTCTCTTAGCCTTTCTGACTGTTTCTTCTGTAAACGTGGCAGGCTCGTGATGATTAGAGTTCGTGATGGTGTACAGTAGATGCCTGGTGGATGACTTACTTTATTGAGAATTAAGATTCTAAATTGGCCTCCCATTCACTCCCCAGGTACCTAAGGCGGCTAGATTTGGTAATTCACTAAGTGTGGCCGGGCCTTTTGGAGAGAATACTCCATATGTTCAGTGTCCTTAATTTTAAAGTGTCCCACTTAGGCCTTATGTCTTTTTTCTCCTTCTTGGTAGTACTGGGGATTGAACCTGCGGCACCCCACCCTTGAGCTGCGCACATTATGTTGGGCCTGCGTCTCACTAAGTTGCTGGGCTGGCCTCAACTTGCCGTTCTGCCTTGGCCTCCAGGGTTGTGCTGGCTTATAGGCGAGCGCCACATGCCCAGGCCATTCATGCCTTTTGAGTGTAACTGCCAGTGCCCAGTGTGAGTTAAATGTCTGCTCCTTAGGGCTACGAAGGAGCCTTTGCGGACCCTCACCAGTTTAACCCCAGCTTTGGCCTGGCAAGCTGGATATTCATGTATGAAACCTTGTCTAAGCACCTTGCTAAGTTCAGGTTGCCTCATTCACCTTCCAGAGGAATGTGTGAGCTTCTAGGAAAAAAATTTAGGGCTATTTTTATCTTGAAGAATCATTCACTTAAAAAACAAACTGCCCCCCACCCCTACCCCCGTACCGGGGATAGAACTCATGACCTTGTGCTTGTGAGGCAGGCACGACGCCACTGAGCTACCCAACCCCCAGAACAAACTACTTTTGTGATTGGCCTTCCCATTCTACACGTGCGAACTAGCTTGTCGGTTTAGCTGTGTGTGCAGCCACCCTCTTGGACGGGACCCCAGCCTCCAGCCTCCTCCGGCACTCCTAAGCTTGGGGGTGGCAGGGCGGTTACCTGGCGCGGGCGGTAGACGTGCGTCCCTATGTGACATGTCATCTGAGCTGGGAAGGCAGAGCTAGCGGCTTGGTTAATTGTTAATGCGGAGGCAGCCGAGACCATGGCACCGTCTGCTTCGCTAGGACTCGCATGGAAGAGAGACGCACCCCACCGGGGCCTGGGGAGTCCTCTGCCAAGCAGGCCCATGCACACGCACGCATGGGGCGCCCCACAGGCCTGAGGGTCCTTGTTGGTGTTAGGAGCTCACTTCTGGGGCTCTGCTGGGCTGGCCGCGTCTCCTGACGTGTGGCCTGGGAGGGCGCTTGTGCCCAGGAGGACCCTGTCATCCCACGTCATCTCTGTCCCCAGGAGGCGGCCTGGGTGTTGGAGACGGAAGACTCAGGTGGGGCCCTGATATGAGTCCCGGGCGGTCACTGCTTTGGGCTCACGTGTGACATGGTAGGGTACGGCCTGCTGCTTCCCACACGGTGAGGATTAGGAGGGGCCCGGTGTCTGTGTCCGACCTTTGTAAGCAGCAGTGCTTCTAGGGCCCTGGAGACAGACCTGGGGACCAGCCGAGCCCTGCTGTGTACAGTGGGGATGCTGGGCTGGCCTCCTGCCTCAGTTCCCTCTTCTGTGCAGTGGGTAGTGGGTCCTGCCCTCCAGAGCCTGGGCTCTGTGGCTTGTGTGCGTGGTGAACCCTTAGGAATAAGGGAGGGGACGGCAGGCGCAGAGCTGGGCTGAGGGGAGGCCTGGCAGCCAGGTGAGCTCCCGGTCCTCTTCAGAGCAGCTGGGAAGGGCTGCTTGGGGCAAGGGTCCTGGACAGAACAGACCCAGGAAGAGGGAGCCACCCACGGCAGCAGTGGGCCCTGAAGCCACCAGCAAGGGAGAGTGTGTTGTCCTCTATCAGGACGGCTGCGACAGTCACTGGGTTTGGGCTTCGTGAATGGTTTCTGTCATTTCTGAGGACTTTGATGCAGACACCAGCTCACTGTTCCTTAAGGAGGAGAACATCCAGGGTGGCTGCCGTATGGAACTGCACCCCATATCCCGGTCACAGCCACGCCACTGCCCCTTTCTGCCTTGTCTGACCCTAAAAATGTGGAGATGCTGCTCCAGCCCCGGGGGCGGTTTCCCCTCTTCGTCCTGCAGAGCTGGGTTGGGACAGGCCCATAGAACTCGGACGCTCTCGCCCTGTGGAAGAGAGACAGTCCCGCCCGTATCCAGGCCTCACGTCTTGTCTGCCGCTCTCTTGTCCGGGAGGTGATGACTAAGCATGCCTGGCCCTGGGCTCAGTGTCTCGCCATGGGGGCTGCTCATCCTCTGGGGCCTCCGAGCACTTGAAGCTGCACAGGCCATAGTCACCGCCTGGGGGGGATTGTGTCACCGGGATGTTTGTGATGTGGACTTGGGAAAACAAGTGTGGAGGGAGGAATCTTGTTTCCCGGTGCTGTCTGTCCAGTATGGTCAGCCCTGGTACCTAACCAGGTGGCCCTCGGTGAGTTGCCTGCCTCTGCTGGCCACACTTGTTGCCAGGAAGCCCGTGGTAAGGGTTTTCATTTTGTATTGTTGCCTGTAGTGTCACTTGGTTCTTGGAACATTGTGGGGGACCTCCCTATTGATATGCCCAAAGCAGCCGTAAGCAGTGCAGGCTGTAAAGAGTTAGCCCCCAAATTGGCTCATTTTAAGAAGTGAGTCTGGGGGCCGGGGATTTAGCTCAGTGGTTCCACTGCCTGCCTCGAAAGCGCAAGGACCCGGGGTTCAATCCTCGGTACCACCACCAAAAAAAAAGCGAGTCTGACTGAAGCTTACGTGACTTGAAAGCACCTCATGGGCACCTCAGCAGGGTGCAGGTGAGTATGACCCTCCTGCTACCGCCGCAGCAGAGACAGAGGGACGGCCTGTGCGGCTGTGGGGCTCAGTATGAGATAACATAGCAGCCGAGGACGGAGTAATCGCACCCAAATTCCATTCCCACACCAAAACCTTTTTAACCAGGACAAGGTTCTAATTACAACCTATGTTTTGTCTATTCTGTTCCTAATTCAAGAATGCTGATAGAACGTGAGTCAGCCCTGAGCAGATGCGTTCAGATGGGCTTGTCCATGAGACCAACCCACTGGAGAGCTTAGTTGTTAGTGACAATTAATCCAGCCTTAATGTGTGCTAGGCTTAGGGTCAGGGCAGAAGTCCAGCGGGGGACAGAGACCTGGGGACAGCTGTAAAATCTGGTTGTTTGGGGCGGGGTGTGGCCAACAGGCACCTGAAGGAAGGAGCCCCTCAGCTTCCTGCGAGAGTTGGGGGCTCTTCTCCTGAAAGCACTGCTGGACTGGGTCCTGAAGGCCTTGCTGTGGAGAGCAGAGAGCAGGTGGATGTTGAGAAGCCGAGGCTGATGGCGCACGACGTGCAGCATGCGCCTGTCAGCCGATGGGGAGAGAGCCCCGTGCCTGCTCAGCTGACATGCAGGCTTGGTCTGTTGGAAGCGTGTGACTTGGAGGCAGGCCACCTGCCTTTGGCCGCTGTCCAGAGTCCACCCCACAGCCTGGTCTCAGAGGCGCGTGCTTTGTTTGTGCAAACTCCCCCTTGGGACACCAGCAGAAGGGGCTGGCCTGGAGCACGGCTTCTGGTTCTGTGGTGCTGGTGGCACCAGGCGGAAGGGCTTGAGGCCAGGTGGCCTTGGTGTTCGAGGAGTTTGGTCTTAGTGTGTTGCAGGCGGAAGTACTCTTTCCCTTTTATGTCCTTGAAGGCTGACACCCTGTTCCTGAGGTTTAAGGAACTTAAGCTGGACATGGGATCAGCAGAGGCCTCAAAGGCCACCTGGCTTCTCCCTAGGAGAGGCCCTGGGGGTGCTGTGGAGATTAGGACAGAGGCCACACCAGAGGCATTAGGCTCTCAGCCCTGGCCTCCTTCCTTCCAACCACACTTCACTTGGCTGGGTTCAGAGAAGGGGTCCTCGGAGTGCCGGGTGGAGTCCTGCCGTTTCACTGAAATGCCTTCCACTTCCCTAAGCGTCGCTGGGCGCCTTCTGTTTGCCCGGGTGCCGAGCTTTCTGGGCAAAGTAGACTTGATAAGTGTTCTGACTACTCCTGTGTCAGGGTTTCTCATGGCAGACCCACGACTGTTTCTGTGGCCAGGAAGTAGAGTGAAATGCACGTTTATTGGGCACCCACTGTGTGTTGGGTGCCAGGTGTGCTGGCACTTTCACCAGACCTCTCCTTTCGTCTCAGACCAGCCTGTGGGCAAAGTGGCACTGCCCCGTCTCCTTGCTGGCAGGAGGGAGGTGTCTGCTGGGCGAAGCGCAGCCCTGCATCTGCGTTGGCCGAAGCTGCTGAGTGCAGAGTCAGGGTTCAGCTGAGTGGTCAGAGGCGCTCAGTGCTGTAGGGCAGGCTTTCCTCTTCCCTGGATGGCTTGCTGGTTTGATCTGGGGGAGCACTGATGGCATTCTGATAATTCTCATCACCCTTGACGTCAAAGATGAGCTCTTCAGTACGTGATAAAGTGTTATTTTCTGTACCTACTTTCCTTTTAATCAGTAAAATACAACTTCCAAATTTGCTTGTTTGAGTCTGTGAGCCTTTTGTGAATCATATGGTTCATAGCATGACAGCTTGAGGTTTTCCCAGGGCAGGGAAACGGAGCTGGTAAGCAGTGGGCTTGCCTTGGGTGTGCATGGCTGCAGGACTTGGGGTTCAGGGCGGAGTGAACCATGAACCCTTTGGACGTGTTCATGCCCACTGAGGTGATACCTAGTTCCTTTGAGAGGATCAACTGAACTTAAGAGACAGTTTATTTTTTGTTATTTAAAAATTTTTTTTGAGATAGAGTCTTGTTGCATTGCCCAAGCTAGGCTCAAACTTGTGACCCTCCTGCCTCAGCCTGCTCGAGTCCTGGGATTACAGGCGTGTCCTGGCACACGCAATTTATTTTTGGCAACACTTCTGTAATTTTGTTTTTGTGTCAAACTCTTAATTTTGTCTGTTTGGGCAAGGTACAGTGTGCTCCTAACTTTCAAGAAAATTTGACAGTCAATTATTACAACGGGGGATTAGATAGTCCTTCCTTACTCACTGGGTTGCATTTCAAGTGTTTGCGCAGATTCAGTCTGTTTCTGAATTCTGCCTTTTGATTCATTCTGGCTCATTTAGGTTTTTGCCCCATGCCTCGCAGTCTGCCTGGCCTTTTCCACATCTGGGAGGGGAAGGCTCCCTTCCCCCTTTCTGGTGCTTTTAGCCTGTCTCCTTGGGCTGGGCAGACCTGGGAGAGGCTGAGATGACAGCACACTCAGAGCCTGCAGCTCCCGGTCACGGTCACTTGAGGACAGCAGTGCCTTCGGGGGCCAGGTACCCGGTGGTGCCTTCCTGGGGGCCTCAGGCAGTTAGAACCCAGGGATGTCTCAAGTCCAAAGCCCGTCCTTTACTCTGTGCTACCTGTGGGTTAGAGAGTTCAGGGAACTGTCTGATTTCTTTAGGGTTGACATTTTTGAGGAAGACTAAGGGTTCACTGGGATGCCCGGGTTCAGAGGCTTTGGGCGCCACTTGGCCCTGCTGCTCCGGGGCTGTGGTGGTGGCGGACCTCAGGGTGGGAGCTCGGGCAGAGGCGGCTGCCGCCCCATGGCGCTGGGGAAGCAGGGCGGCAGGAAGGGGGAGTGAGTTCTGAAGATTGAGGGCTGGGGACTGATCCTGTGAGGCGTGGCCTTCGGGGCAGTCCAGACCCAGATCGGCCTTCCTTCTCCCTCCAAAGAGCCAAGCTCCTCCAAGCCAGCCCCTCTGTCCAGCGAAGTCCATGTGCTTCCGGCCGTCAGAGCTGTGACTGGCGGTGACAGTCATGGTGCTGGCAGGGCAGGCCGTGTGCCCTCTGTTGGGTTACCTCCCTGCTATTCCACGTCGTGGCAGTGCATGTTAAAACTCGCTCTCCTCCGTCAGTGGGGGTGTGCCGGACTCTCAGGGGTCCTGGGAAGGGTCAGAGCACCCGAGCCGGGTGTGAGTGGTGGCATCCTTGGGTTTTCCATCCACTTTCTTCATCTCCTGTCTGTCTCTCTAGTTTCTCCTGGGACCAAGATGACTGATGGAAACCTTTCCAGCTCAACAAATGGTGTAGCCCTGATGGGCATTCTGGACAGTCAGCCAGGAAACTCGCTTCAGAGCCTGCAGCACTCGAGCATCAAGGCACCCAGGTCCCTCTTGGTGCCTGAGCACAAGCCCAAGCTGAAGCTCGGTGCCTTGGAAGACCGGGACAGCCTTCAGTCGGTGGACTCAGGCATCCCTACCCTGGAGATCGGCAACCCGGAGCCTGTGCCCTGCAGCGTGGTCCATGTGAAGAGGAAGCAGTCAGAGTCTGAGATCGTCCCCGAGCGGGCCTTCCAGAGCGCGTGCCCACTGCCTTCCTTCGAACCCCCGGCCCCCACCGGTGCCGAGCGGGAGCAGGTTGTGCGAAAGTCTTCCACCTTCCCCAGGACGGGCTATGACTCCGTGAAGCTCTACAGCCCCACCTCCAAGGCCCTGAACCGCAGTGATGATGTCTCCGTCTGCAGCGTGTCGAGTCTTGGCACGGAGCTGTCTACCACCCTGTCTGTCAGCAACGAGGACATCTTGGACCTCATGGTCACGAGCAGCTCCAGTGCCATCGTGACCCTGGAGAATGACGACAACCCGCAGTTTACTGACGTCACGCTGAGCTCCATCGAGGAAACCAGTGATGCGCACCCACTCGGCTGTGCTGAGGACTCCGAGGAGGGGACAAAGCCGAAGCTGTTGGGACCACTGAGCAACTTTTTTACGAGGTAATGCCAGCCTTGTCCCCCAGCGGTGGCCTTTCTTGCTGTGCTGTCCTCCTTGTTAGGGTCAGGCTGTGTTGTGCGGTTGCCGTGCCTCCCCAGAGCCCAGCGTCCTATGGAGTTGTGTGTGGTGCAGGGCTGCAGGGTTCAGTGCTGTGCTCCTCCACGCCTGCCTTGGCTCCTGTGTCCTCGGCTCATTCCCACAGTGCCTGCCACTTTCCCAGCTCCAGCCTGTGTGGCTCAGTCAGCCCGGGCCCTACAGGGAGGGCCCTTACCCCGGGGACTTAAGAGTTCTGGGCCAAACAGGGCATTGATGAGGGTGGTGTCGGGGGAGCAACTCACTTTTCTGTCACCGTGGGCTGGCATGTCCAGTGCCCCAGTCGTACTCCCTGTGCTGTTACTGTGAGCTGTCACTGCCCGCATCACACAAGGTCCCGCCCCCCTGCTCTGTTGCCTGCCAGGGTCAGCCTCTGCTTCTTATGTGTGCTCTCGTCTTCTGTCCAGTGAGTGTGTGTGTCCAGGTCCCTGCTCTAGAAGGTCAAATGGGGTCATATGGTGACAGGAATGACCTTCAGGGATGGTGGGGGACCTTCCGCCTAGGGTGGAGAGGGTAGGCCCAACGTGGCCACCCACGCCATGGAGTGCTACGTGCAGGGCCTGGGGCTTTGGAGACAGCGTGCTGAATTGTGGTCTGGTCCATGGCACCCTGGGGGCCACTGGGCCCCAGGCTTGGCAGGGGTGACATTTTTGCCACTGGGCCTGGTGTCTCATGTGCCCCTTTGCAAAGCCTGTGCAGGACCCTTGGCAGGATGTGGCGTGATGTGCTGGCCAGGTCACCAAGGGGTCCCCTCCCACATGTCCAAGACTGTCCTGAGGTGCTGAGAGTAGAGCGGGAACTGGGGGACACTGTGTGTCAGGGTCCCTTCTGGGGCTGCTGCAGTCCAGCGTAGTGCTGGGCCCTGACTGTGGTGGCTGAATTCCTTTTACTTGAATGAGTGTTTTCAGCTTCCCCTGGTTTTATTTATCTGTTTAACTAGTTTTGCATTCGTAGGGATTGAACACACACGCACACACCCCCTGCCCCATTCTTTTTGAGACAGGATCCTACTACATTGCTCAGTCGCCCAGGCCAGGCTCAAACTTGGGATGTTCCTGTCTCAGCCTCCAGAGTGCTCCGGCCATCGGCATGGGCTGTTGATGAGCACCACCAGGCCTGTTAGGTGGGGGTCACCCTGAACTTTGGAATCCCGGGAAGAGACTGGGAGGGGCATTTTGCATCACCCGGGATTCTTAGCACCTGGCAAACTCCGGTTTGAGCTGGGAGTGCCTGGGAAGGTGCAGAGTGGCATTTGGCTTGGGATTTCAGCAGCCCTGCACCCACACCCTAGCTGTGTGACCTTCAACAAGTGACTTCACCTCTCTGAGTCAGCTGCTCCTCGCTAAGCATTAACAAGAGTCTAGTGGAGTGCTCCTTGTGCTGTTGCTTGTGTCCCCTTCACCCAGTCCCCACCCTGACCTTGCTTTGCACCTCAGTGTCTCTACCTGGGCGCAGCCCGCTCTCCTTTCTTCACCTGGGGATGCAGCAATTGGTGGCCTGACAAGGGAGGTTGAGTTGAGTGGGAGGATCCTGGCTGTGCCCTGCCCCTTTTTCTGCTTTGTCCCCTGTGACTAGGCCCTGTTGAGCCGTCTGTAGACCCTCTTCCCCAGTTTTGCAGTTTCTCGAGCCTCTCTACAGCAGCTGGTTCTTGGACACCTGCCCCACCTCCTCTATTTTGTTCCACGGTGCCGATCTTGTTTTGATGGCGCTGTTACTGAGAACCCCGATTGTGTCCCTGTGGCAACGGGAGTATGCTGGTCCATGAGTCAGGACGGGGGCACTGTGCGCCTAGGGGGTGTGCGGTGGGGCGGGTCTTGTGTCCTGGAGCGCAGAGGGTTAGAGAAGCCTCAGTCTGGGGTACTCTGAGGGGGCTCTGTGCCTGGAAGGTGTGGCTCCGCCGGACGTGTCCCTGGCTCCTGTCCCTGGCTCCTGTCCCTGGCTCTGGAGCTCAGCCCAGGCATGGCCTACGGCAGTTTTGGTGGAGGGCAGAGCAGGGCAGGGCAGGACTGGGCTGGGCTGGTGCTGGCCCCCTGACCCCAGCCCTAGTCTCCAACCTTCACTGTCCTCTTCCTCGAGGGGGTCTCTGGGCTCGGAGGGAGGGGTGGAGATGGCCAGGGAGCTGTGACCCAGGCAGCTGGCCTGTTGGTGAGCCCAATGCTTGCGGAGGCAGCACGGGGGAGGCAGGAGCGGGGCAGAGGCCCAGCTGCTGGGTGTCCTCACTCCATCTCCTCCCCATCCTGTGAGGACACAGATAAGCGTCTGGGGGTGGCCCAGCGGTCAGGAGCACGGTCAAGGGTCAGCCGGGGCGCAGCTGAGTATGTGACCCAGGGCGGGTAGAGTGGCCTCTCTGAGATGTAGGTGGGGACAGGGATGGAGTAGCTACCGAGTCTAACTTCCTGGAGCTTTGCAGGTAGGAGCTTTCGATGACTTGGACCTATTTTTGTTTTCTAAAGGTATCTCTGTCCTTCTCTCATACCGCCTCACTTCCGCCAACCATTTCTGAGTGGGCTGGAGCAGGGCTCTCCTCGGGCCCCGCTGGGCTTGGGGGTGCGGGCTTCCTGTGTGGGCGGCTGCCCTCCACGGCATCCCTGTCCTCTACTGCTGGATGCCCCTGGTGCTCCCTGGCTGTGACACTGCCAGCTGTCCCCAGGCAGGGTGGGAGCCTCTGAGGACCCTGAGCCAGCAGGTGCACCTGTCGGTGCTCAGTGGTTCCTGGGGGAAAGTTGCTGTGTCCCTCAGCAGGCGCCTTGTCCTGTGTAGAAGAGGAGGCCCGTGTGGGGATCCTGCATTTCTGGGAACCCGGCAGCGAGGTTGAGAGTGGAGTACTGCGCTTGCTTGGCACTTGCTCCCCTCTGGAGCCAGAGGCAGCTTCGGGGGAGCCAGGGTCTAATCTGCCGACCTGGACCTGTGCTGGCCTGGCAGGCAGTTGTCGGCCAAGCCTCACCCTGGGCCCTGTGGGCCGTGCTGAGGACCCTGCTACTGAGATGGCTGAACTGCATCTGCCGGGCGAGGGGAGCCTGCTGGACAGCGCTGCTGCAGAGGGACAGCGGGATGGCAGGGCCGCGTCTCTGGCCTGCTGTGTTTTTGTTGGAGTTCACGTGAGATTTCATTTTGCTTTTTAATTCCACTCTATGAACATGTTTGTAACCATTGGCTTAAAAAAATCTTCGGCTCTTTGGGAGGGTGAGGCAGGAAGATCACACATTTGAGCTCAGCCTGAGTAAAATAGTGCGACCCTGTCTCAAAATAAAAAACAAAACTGGGGCTGGGGTTGTAGCTCCGTGCAGAGGTCCTGAGTCCTTCCCCAGTACTGAGAAGGCAGACTTCAGGTGGGCGCTGTAACTCTGCGTTAAAGCGCCCAGCCTGTTTCTGTCTCTTGTGGACCTAGGCTTTTGGGACTTGGTCCTTGGAGACTGACGCAGTGCTGGGAAGGAGCTGAGCTCACTGCTGTCTACTTAGGGCCATATTGGCCACCAGCCAGGTGCCCTTGTCCCCTGTACACGACTGTTGGCTCACCCTCTGGCCACTGTCCTCCCATTGCGCTGCGGACGGCAGCATGGACGGTGACTGTCCATTCCTGAGTCTCTCAGTACCATTACCTGCTCGCCTTTGTGGGAGAGTAGAGCTGGAAGTGAGGTGGAGACCACCCCCAACCCCCGCCGCCTGCTGCCCAGCTTTGCCAGGCTCCTGCAGCACCGCAGCGTCTGGGTTCCTGATGCTCCAAGCAGGTGCAGAGGAGGAGGGGCTGCATCCTGTGTCCTGGTGGCTTCTGATCCTGCTGTGTCCTTGAATGGAGCAGGCCCCTCGGTGGCAGCTCCTGTCCTCGTCACTTCTGTGTTGTTCAGGGAGCCATTCCCAAGGCCCAGGGCAGAGCTGACTCCTTCCTATGACTTTGAAATCGCCTCATTCCTTGAGTTTACTCCCTTTCCGTTTAAGATACCTTGAGTGGTTTCTCTGTCATTCCCTAGAAGCTGGTCAGTTTGTGCCAAGTCTTGCTAACAGCTGAGGAAACTGAGGCAAGGAGTGGGAGGTAGCTCCAGGGGGTACAGAAGTGAGCTGGGGCTTGGGTCTGTGGCCTTCTGGCTCCTGGTCTGCCAGGCAGGACTGAGTTCAAAGCGGAGAGGTTGTTGGGATTCAAGGGGAGGATGTGCCTCAATGTGCAGAGCAGTAAGGTCTCCTTCTGTCCTTAGGCTGCCCGGCTCTCCCTTCCTACTGCCTGCGCACTCCGCACCAGTGAACTGAGGTGTGGCACGAATGGCTTTTCTACAAAATCTACTCAAGTCCCTGGTGACCTGGACCTGGCTTTGGGGCTGCATAGAAGACATCTGCTGTGTGCCTGAGTTGCTGCCGGGGCCCTGACCCATGTGTGGCTGACGGCTGGGAGGGAGTGCTGGGTGGGTGACCTTCCCCCATCCTGCTGGGTGCAAGGCCGGAAGTCCTTGTCTGGGAAAGGAGCCGAGGTACCCGCCTGCAGGGGAGAGGACGAAGGAGCAGTGGAACCCGGCGCAGGAGGTCCAGGCCCTGTGTCCGTCCCTCTGCAGTGAGATGAGGGAAGGGAGGTGAGCCTAGCAGCCAGACAGACTCAGGCTGGAGAGCGGGCTCGGAAGCAGAGGGGCAGAGCTGAGGGCCCCGGGCCACTCAATACTCAGAACAGTGGGGTTCAGGTCTTTGTGAGAGAGGGCCAGATGTGGTAGCTGAGGGGCTGAGCTAAGTCGCTCCCTTGGGGAGGCAGCGCTGCCCAGTTCTGTCTCCCCAGCATTTCCCACCCACTGGAGACAGGGCAGAGAGGCTAATGCTGGACTGTCGAGCTGGGATCCCCTCTCCGCTCATTAGTCCCCATGTCCGTGCTCTCTCTGCAGAAGACACCAGCCTGCTTCTGGTCACCGTGGTCATGAGGTGGGCCTCGGGC